AATCAAGTATGCTCAGCTCAGCTGGTCAAACTCAACTGGAGGACCAGAAAAAAAATAACTGCCTTATTATTTAAACTTTGTTTTGTTAAATATTCCAGTTTCTATCATTTACGAAGTAGTGAAAACACTATGCTCTTCATACATCAATATCAGAATATTCCATCCTATTCTATTGTTATAGCCACTAAGCATATTTAAATATGATGAACTAAAAAATACAATTGTTTATAAATGTAGCTTTGATAGATGTTTGAATAAGGTTTCCAGTAGCAAAAAAGCATGTTATGATCGATTAAATGCGCTGATACGTCATTATGCCTGCTAAACACATAACGCTGAGTGGAGTGGTGTACCGCTCCAAGATGGCCGTCCCAAATCTCGTCAGCGACAATAGGCGAGAGCGGTCCATGAGGGTCTATCCTTATGTCTATGGTTTCACATTTTCAGCTCTATATCGCCCCCCCCCGTGGAAGCTTTCCGAAATTGACAGCATGTTTCCAAACATTGAGATTTTTTATTCTCTTGGTTTATTCTCATAAACATCTTTAGAAAGAAATGTGAGAAAATACAAAACAGGTTAATTAAATAGTTAAACTGTAACTGGTAATGATTGCACAACCAAACGTTTCTCCCTTTTCACCTGTTGATCCACTTTAAAAGAAACGAGGCCAGAGAAACCACAAGGTGGCAGCTGAGCGGGAATGTAGGTGTGACGTGTGCGCAGGTGCAGGAGGACAGGAAGGAGGTGAAAGTGCAGCTGAATGAGGTCAGAGTGGTTTGGAAATGAGAAAACGTCTCGCCTTCAGAGAGAACAACAAAGTTCAGGAACGTTTTACACTGAAGGGAACCCAGAAATAAACCAGGAACAGTGACAAAGTAAGTACACCCCTGCTGCTCTGATGCTGAAACACTGTCCTCCAGAAAGAGAAACCGTCTGAGGATAAACGGAGAACATCCAACTATCATGTAAGGTGGTGGCAGCATAATGATCTGGGCTTGTCTGGATGGAAGAGCAGATCTGCAGCAGAGCTGAAGCTGGGCGATCAACTAGTTTAAGCAAATTTTTGGTTTCGAATTTCTGTTTTGTTTTTTTATCCAAAAATTAAAGTTTTTTTTTTTTTTCCACCCATATGCCACAGGGTTTCCATAAGTCAGAGCCCAGGGCAGCCATCTTGTTTTACAGCTTTTATTTACTTGGGCTTTAAATTCAGGTCAACTCTACAACCTTTATTGGGGTCAAAATTTTTATTACTAGAATAAAGTCATACAACAATGCAATACGAAAAGTAGAAATTTTTCTGAGAATGAAAATAAAAAATGACAAATTATTTTTAGTAGCAGTAATTTTAAGATGTTCATGTAGTAAAATTACGTCTTTGTTCTGCAAATATGACTTTATTCTTGTAATCAAAGAAAAACAATTTGTTGTTAAAATTAAAGCCACTAATGAAAAATCAAAAATAGTCCAAATATTTTCTGTCAATTGTAATTTCTTTTTAATAAAGATTGTTTTTAAGCTGTATCGCTGTAACAGATCAGCTGAAAAAACAAAAGTGCTGCGATGGCCTAGTCAAAGCCCATGTGACAGGAATCCTGGATCAGAGGGTGTACTTACTTGTTTTTCTAAAATAAAAACACACCGGAATGGATCTTTTGTCCATCAACCAATCAGATGTTCGTCTCCTTCGCGCTCAACCTGACCTCTGATGACCACTTCCTGTCCTGATGCCAGCTTCCTGTACAGCTGCAGCAGCTCGCCAGCCTGCGGCGCCTTCGACTCTGGCGTGGGCGGGACGTCGAAGTCCGAGGACGCCTGAGACGCCGGCAGCTCCTCGAGTTCTGACTGGGCCAGGATGAGGGTGTCGTCCAGGTTCTGGGAGGACTGGTTGGACTGGGAGGCGGACAGCGTCAGGCTGAAGGCGTCCAGGTTCTCCGGGATTCGGTCACCGTCGCTGAACAGATCCGGGGTCTGTGATGCGGTGGAGCAGCAGGAATGTGATTGGCTGTTCTGGCTGTCGCTCAGCGGCTCTGCCGTAAAGAAATCCTCCCACTTCGGCGCTTTGCTCACGTCTCCTTTTCCCTCCTCTTCCTCCTCCTCTTCATCGTCTTCGTCCTCGCCGTTGGACTCGGTGCAGTCGAAGTAGTTCTGAGCAGCAGACGTCGAATCAGACACCAGCAGAGGTAAAGACGTGGCCACAGGGAGCGCCGTTCTCTCAACTGGCGTCTCTACAGTTAAAGGAGAAACATTTCACCAAAATAAATTTTAAAAAATTAACATATTTTTTAATTTACTTTATCACCTCTTGTTTGCTCCGATACATCAGTATCAAACTTGCATTCAAAAAATCTTAATAAATACAATTCATGCTAAAGTTGAAGAGATACTGTCAGTGTAGCAAAACTATTAATACTACACAGCTACAAGTTTGTAGAAGTGTACTAATAAATGTACTGATTATGTATTTATTAATGTATTTAATTGACGTTCTCATCTAACTTTTGTTGCTCAGAAGACCAAAATGTACCGCTGTGCGTTTCCTGGTTCAGGATCAGTTTCTTCCGGAGCGGAGCCAGATCCAAACTGTCAAAGAGCTCGTCGTCGCTGCTCGAGTCTGAACACAAAACATGTGACCTCATTAAACTGGTTGACATCATTAAACTGGTTTACCACATTTAAACTGGTTTACCTCATTTAAACTGGTTTACCACATTTAAACTGGTTGACCTCATTAAACTGGTTTCAACCAGGTTGGTGATGTGAAGACTGCTGATAATCCAGCTGTTTTTTGCATTTCAGGCAATAAAATTTTTATATTTTATTTAAAAAGGTTTATTTGTATTTTTATGAATTTCTGATATTGTGGTTAAATAAAAATATACAAAACGGGTAATTTTTTCATCCGATTAATAGATTATTATTATGCTAACAAATGATGGATCGATTAATCAATAGTTCTGATGAATAATCGTCAGGACAACTGATTAATCATCAGGATAATTGTTAATTGCAGCCCTAATTTGGATATAGTTGGTGTCCCAGTTGGATAAAAATCCCAAATATGTCCAAAATGGACAGGAAAACATGAAACGGTCTTCAGGTTCTGTGTGAACAGTTTAGGGCGAGCTACCGTCAGAGGGCCGCTGAGCTCGGCTCCGCTTCAGGACGCCCAGAGGTTTGTAGACGAAGCCGGCGTCATCGGGCTGGTTCCGGCACATCAGCCTCAACCTGGAGACACAAACATCATCATCATCATCATCATCAGAGCGAAGATGACTCTGCAGCCTCAGGTCTGAACCCTGGCAGCACAGACAGAACTGGTCCAGTCTGGTTCCTGGAGCAGATGGACTCGGGATGTTTTACTGGAAAATCTCCCAGAACGTTTCTGCTGATCCAGAAACTTCTGTTGACTCTGAACAAGTAAAATATTTTACCTCAAGCTGCTCTGAATTAGGATCAGTATTTTTAGGAAATACAAAAACAAACGGACGGTTTGTTGGATGGATGGACAGTAAAAACATGGAATAAAGTCTAGGAACACAAATCTCTCCGTTTCTTTCCAAACTCATCCAGACACGGAATAAAAGCCAAATTCCCATTTTTCCAGAATTTTCCAGATTGAAGATTCTTATCTAATTTTCTCACTGGAAGAAATTAACTCAGAAAACTTTCCTCCATTAAAGCATTTAAACTGTTGGACTCACATCTGCGTGACGTCGGTCAGCGAGCGTCCGATCGGAACGACGCTCGGGAAAATGTTGACGGGCTGCAGGTAGGACAGGAAGTCCTTAATCTGGAACAAACCGGAAAAAAATCCCTTCATTCATCTGAAACAATGAAACCAGCCGATAAAGCAAAGTTGGAGATAAGAGTGAAAGTCTGACCTCTGAGTAGGAGGAGTGGAAGCTGAAACAAGCTCTGTAGGAACTACTTCCTGTTCTGGAGGACAGACTTCCTTTAGCCAAACTGAACTGAATTTATTCCCATTCCCCAAAGCGAACAGTTCTTTCTTACTTTATGATGACGTTGGTCTTCTTGGTTCGCTCTCCGAACCACATGGTGGACGGTTTGATGCTGATGATCCGGAGCGGCGACCCGTCAGTTGCCGAGCAACCACACGGCAACCGGTTGCCCTGGAAAAACTCCTCATCCTGCAGTAAGACACCGGGCATTAGTCCTGCTCTGCAACTTGATTAAATGTAACAAAAGTTTGTAAAATGTTAAAAAATATAATGTAGTTGCCATGGAGACGAGGGGAACAAACCCTGGGATGCCGGCAGGCATGGATCTGAGTGGTGCGGTCGGTGGTGACGTAGCTGAGGATCTCTGGCATCTTCTTGAACATCGCCAGACTGTTAACATGGATCTAAAGGAGAAAATACAAAATATATGCAAGATATATAATATTAAAACATTATAAATATTTAAAATTCAAATCCTGAACAGATTCACCAGATGGTTCCCTTAGAATCAGAACCAAAAGAGCAGAAGGTAGAGAACAGATTCGATGGATGGACGAACAGATGGATGAATGAATGGATTGATGACCAAACAGATGGACTAAAAATGAATGGATGAACGGATGGATGGATAAACATACGGATCAATAGATGGATAGATAAATTGGTGACACTTTTGTGAATCTTTATCCACCAGAAAATTTCCTCTTTTGTGATTCCAGATTTCTGTCATGAAAAAGAATCAGGAAAACTCATCGTGTTTCCAGAATCTGACCGTTTCCATGGAAACGAACAGGTTCCTAGGCTCTGAACAGATTCTGCAGCCTTGGAGGAATGGTGGCAGGAAGGGCTCTGACCCAACAGGATAAATGTTTTTCCTGCATGAGGAAACATCCCTGAACTGCTCACCTGAGTGCCGAACTCGTCTCCCAGGTTGGTGAACAGATACTCGTATCCGTACGCGGCCTTACAGTTCAGCCACACCACGTGATATGGACTCTGGCCGATCCAGTTTCCGATCAGCTCCAAAATCCCTTTCAGACACACTTCCTGCCATCACAGGAAGCAAAACCAAACCTCAAAACACTCAAAGACATAGCATTAAAATAGAGCCTCCAGCACGTAGCAATGATAGCACGCTAAACAGAACCTTAAACATTTCGCTTCGCTAGCACTTAGCATCATTAGCATGAAAACAAAACCTCAAACGCTTAGCATTGTAACCACTCGACATAGAACCTTAAGGATTGGGTGCTAAATAGAACCGAACGTATTCTGTTCTATTTAGAAAACAGCTAGTATCCATGGCAACCCACATCATTAGCATGAACCTTTAACACTTAGCATCATGAGCTGCAGAAAGTAAGATGACTCACTCTGCTGGGGATCTGGTAGAAGCGTGGGTCGTAGAACGTGGAGTCCAGATAAACACTCTGGATGTCTTTGACCCTGAGAGATACGGAGCGGACCGTCAAGACCCAGAACCATCCAGGACCACATGAAGTCGAGGGCCGGAAGTAGGGAGTGTGCGAGCCACTTCCAGCCCACTAGCCAGAAGCTTGAAACCTGTCTTGACTTCACCTGCTGCCGGAGTGCAGATGCTCCATCCTGGATGCGTCTCCGACCGCCAGCCGGAAGTCCCCCGTGTATAACACGTTTCCATGGCAACCCTCAAACAGGAACCTGAGAACACGAGGTACAGGCTATCTGTGATGAAACAGGAAATACATCGCTGCCACTTCCTGTAGACCTTGTAACTGGTCAGATCTGAACGATTCCTTAATCCAACTGCTTTTGTTTCCTTTGTGATCAAACAGATTCCCGACTCTGAACCGATTCATGACTCAATAGATTCCTGAGTCTGAACAGACTGGTGAACTGATTCCCAAAACAGATTCATTTGAACACATTTCCAACATTTAAATTTCTCACACACAGATGATAAACAGATTATCTGTCTCCATCACTGAACGAACAGATTCCTACTAGGAATCATTTAAAGAATCTGTTCAGAGATCTGATCAAAGCAGTAGGGAGGGACCTGTTCAGGATTAGGAATCTGTTCGTTCAGTCAGATTTCTGAACAGATTATTTAAATGGTTCCTAATTACCAACAAATTCCTTGTTTTTAACACTGAACAAACTGATTCCTGCCTCCAAGCAGATTCCCACTCCAGATTTCTGGTGATGAACAGATTCTCAGACTGAACACATTCTTTTACTCCACTTATCTGGATCAGCAGATCTTCAGGTTTTTAGCTGCTTTTCACTACATTTCTGCCCACAACTTGAATGTTTTTAGAGGAAATGTTTGCTAAGCCACAAAACTAGATGTGACTCACATGACGGATCCAGGACAGTGACCTGCAGGAAGCAGAGTCACCACAATCTCTTCTCTCTGTCCCACAAACAGAAACCCAAAGTTAGAAACAAAAGCTGAAAATCTCCGACTGCAGCATCGGACCTGAACATACCGACCTCTCCAGACGCTTCGTCCACCAGGGAAATCTGAGTGGGGCTCTCCAGCTCCAGAGGAACCTGCGATGGAAACCAAACTCAGCACGGACCCCAAAACCAAAGAGTATTTTAAGCCTGGCGGGACACCAGGCTTAACTTGCACCCCCGCCAGGCTGAGTTTGTTTATTTACTATACACAGAGGATGGTAGAGTTCCCAAAAAACAGTCAAGTAAGACTAGCACTACTTCTACATATTTTGACTCAAGTAAAAGTAAAAAGTGCAGAGCAGTAAAAATACTCCTAAAAGTATTTTTTCCAAAAAAGTTACTATATTAAATGTAACTAGTTACTACCCAACTCTGATTATAACAATGACAGCAAAAACAGGTTAAAGAATCTCTTTGGTGAAACAGCAAAATGGCAAAAAAAAAACAAAAACAAAAAAAACCATAATTAGGATAAAACAGTTGACTTGCAAAAAAATTATATTTATTTAAAATTTATTTTTATTTACCTCTGAATTTTAAGACTTTACAGTTGGTGTTTATGTATTGGTAATGTCTTCCAACAACACATAGTGCAAATTAACTCAAGGTAAATCTGTTTACTACTAAACGAACGTCACTAATATTCATGCATTTCCTATGAGAAGTGTTTATATGGCAACACTTTCAAGCATTTCAACCATAATTATATCATATTGGGATTTTATGTAACAGACCAACACAAAACAGTCAATTGTTGGGAAGAATTGTGAAGTTGACAGGAAATTCCAAAATTTCCTGTCAACTTTAAATATTTTTTAACTCTAAAACACAGAAGGCCTCGGGATGACTGCCCCTGCCACCGGGCTTCCTGGGGGAAACTCTGGATGGCCTCAGTGACCGGTTTGGACCCGAGACCAGAGGGGGAAGTACTCACTACGTATTCCTCCCAGAAGGCGTACTTTGGGTTGTTTAGCAGCAACTCTTTGGTCACAAAGGAGCAGTAAAGTCTGACGGTTCGACTGCAAACACAAACAGGAAGTAAGTTGTATTTACTCTTCCATTAAATACTTTAGTATGTTTTTTTTTATATTTGTTCAAACTGTCACCATGTTGTGACAGTGTAATATGAGAAAAGACTGAACTCCTCTGAAGAAATGCAGAAAAAACAACCAATCAGAGCCAGGAAAAGGGTTTTATTGCTGCCAATCAACTTCATGTACACATGGCTAAATGCGCTCATGGCGGAGAAACAACTTACCATTGCAAGAAAACCATTTACCCTCCGTCATGGGTGGCCAGGCTATCTAGCCTTAGCATTCACAACAGGCTTTGCTAGCCCTGTCCCAATAACTCAATTAGTCACATCACAAATTAAAATGATTTATCATTTTCCAAAAATTGGAGGACAAAAGTCTTCGGTTTGGTGCGTTGGTCACAACTACCCTTTTTCAGGAAGGACAATTTTTTTTACAGCGACTTCAACGTCAATTTTATTTGGTGTTTTGTTTATTTAGTTCAGATATTTAAAATGTCTTGCAGTTCCAGTTTTCAATGTTCATTAAAATTAAAGTTCATTGATCTCCGAGAATGTTTTCTTGCATCATTATGCCATTATAATTAGATTACTTAACAATGGTCTCAAAACAATAATGTTATTGTTTATCTTTATAACTTCTGGGACAATTTATCATTGGAACAAGATTTTTATTGTGACAAGCCTACACATTATGACATTGTGATTGGCAGCGGTAAGACCCGCCTCCCGGCTCTGATTGGTTGTTTCTAGTTAGCACTGGGAGAAGGCAGAGCAGTTAATTTTTCATTTATAGTCCAACACTATATCGTCACGACAGTTTCAACAAATATATGAAAACAGGTTTTTGATAAAAGTTACATGCTGCAACGGTAAAGTTTGTTTTAGACTCCATATCCTTTAATGATAGCTCCCATGCACCATATAGCAGTAACGGAGGTAAAAATAATTTAATTTCGTCATATTTAACCAAACGACAGTTCACCTGAACTGCAGTTTTCTCTTCAGCAGAGGTCCTTTCAGTCCTTTCATGTGGTCTGAAACGCAGAAGAAACCATAAAGTCAGAGTTTACGCGACACAGCCGAAAATAGCTAAAATATTCTCCGGTTTAATCACCTTTGTGACAGTGAGATAGGAAATAAGCCTGCGCGTGCAGGTTCTCCCTGTCGAACCGGTCCAAAGACACGGTGGGATACTCCTTCATCCGACCCGCGAACGAACTCATCTCTCAGCCGAACCGTCATCCACACCGCCTCAAGTTAGTTTGCTCTGCTTCAACAGCATCATCTGGTTTGTTTGTTTGTCCGCCCTGTTCAACTGCTCTTCTTCTACGTTCCAACCAGGAAGTGATTTCAGAATGTCGCCATCTGCCGGCGTAATGGTCCATCGGCGCCTCTGCTGCCGCCATATTGTGAATGACAACTTTCCTTTATTTTACGACTTGTGCTGTTTTATCCTGTTTTTTAAACGTTAATGATGATTTTAATAAAACAGTATGACATAAAACAATATGGTGAATATCATTACCATGACCAATAAGATGAAATCATTACCATCACATAATTCTTCAATTCTTCCAGGTATTATTTATTATGTTGGTAAAAGTATGGAGGCTTTCTTTTGGTTGTTGCAACGATTTAGCACTTTATTAAATAAAATTATTTAAGTAAAAAATAAACACATGGAAAATATAGATCTTTTATTACACATAAATTTGAAAAAATAAAAAAACAAAACAAGTGAAGCTTTCAAATGTTAACTTTTCTACTTGCCTTTTCTATTTCTTTTAAAATACAAAACGCTACTTTGTCATTTTCAAACAGCTATTTACACTATTTACAATCAATATAAGCTGTTTTGTTGAAAGTCAGTCAAAAATTAATTTTAAAGAACCAAATTAAAGAAATACAATATTTCTGTATTTCTCAGTACCATTGATATTTGAACAATTGTTCTTCATTTTGATTTTTTTTAATGCTTACATTAATCTAAAAATAATTTAAACACTATTTCTCTTTAAAAAGCGTTTCTGTGTTTTATGTAGAAGTTTTTATTTATAGATTTAAATATTCTTTGAGTTATTGAAAAAAATATATTCTGAAATTTTATAGCTTTTAGTTTAAAAAAAACTAACTTTGATAATAAAAAAAAACTATCTCATAATTGAGTAATAATCCTATACTATCAGTGTTAGTCTTCTTCTGTGGAAAGAGTCCAAGTTAAAATCAGTTATACGTTTATTTTTCATCAGTGGCATAATAGCTCCTATTTTCTTACATGCTTCCAGCGCCATCTGCTGGAAGGTTTTCACTATACAGTAATACTTAAAAAAAAAGAAAAAAGAAAACCTTCACCCGAGGCACTCAGCTGAAAGGATCATAAAAGAAGCTCAAGCTCCGCCTCCGCTGGCGCACTGATCTCCTCATCGGCTTGTAAAGGATGCGGAGCATCGTAACTGCAAAAGAAACGGAAAAACTTAACATTCAGCAAAAGATTGATTAAAGTTTTATTTCCTTTCAAACAGCTACCAGCTCACTTAAAACAGCAAAATGTTTAATTTTCAGTTCATTATAACTGGTAAACAACGACAAATTAAATAAAAACCGAGCAGTTTTTGATTTCTCAAAGGTTGTTTTTCTATATTCCTTGGAAATGTGACGCATTTCGGTCGTCTCGTGACTATACGGGACTACAGATGTGTTTTCTTTGCTGTTATTAATCTCTGGGCCTGTCACACTCTGCTCATGTGATGGTAACTTCAAAGGGGGAAGATTATGCACATCTAGGATTTATCTCCTGATGTAGAAAGTTAACTGTAAGTAGAAAGACAACTGATCCCATCAGCTGACTTATACAGTCCAGCTGCTTCTGCAACAAAAACAAGAGTTCAGCTGTATTCAATAAGAACAGAACAAAACAAAAACATCTAACTTTATATTTAGTTCTTCAGTTCATGAACATTCTTAATTACAAAATATGATTATTAACAATTAACTTATGAATTGGTAAATTATTAATAATTATAATAACGATCGTTATTATTAATAGTCATTATTAGAAATAATGATTAATAGTATTAATTATTATTGTAATAATTAGAATTAAAAATCATTATTTATCATTTATTATGCTAATAAGTCATAATCAGTGTTGCTGTAATAATGATTATGAATAATAAACTATTAATTAAACAATAACTATGAAATTAACTATTTGATACATAATTATTTTTATAATTATAACTCAACAAATGTATTGTTTGGCTGGAGCATATTTTACTGTAATGTCAGGCGTACTGAGATTTCCGGAGCGCGCCTGCGACCCTGAACGCCTCTCGGTCGGCTCAACAGTTAAAGTGAAGTCACCTTTAAGGAGCTTGAAAACTGGAGCTACCGGAGCTTATTCCCTTTAACTCTGACCTTCTGTGAAACCATGTTTCCACTCGGATCCACTCGGGATCTGTGAGGCGAGTGAAACCCGTCGGAATCGAGAGGTTTGCGGCTTGTTTTGGCTCTTTTTTCGCTGAATGTTTTGATTCTTTCCGAGCGGATGATCTGTTAGCTTAGCTTCTTCTGCCTGCTGCGAGTTAGCCAGTAGCGAGTAAATCTCAGGACACTTTACTGCTCCCGTATGTTCAATTCTTTGTTGGTTTAACATCAATAAATAATGTTTTCGACGTAACTTTAAGATAAAATCACTTACTATAGGGGAAACGAGGATTTGTACGCTTTAAAACAAACAAAATGTATATTTAAGTAGATAAGCTCTGTTTGATTCAAGCTAGCACTTAAAACATTTACTTTAATAAATCTGTTTCTTATCAGACAGCAACCTTTACTGATTGGGTGATTTATTTTTAAATATGTTCGTCTACCCAAATTGAATATCTTGAGTTTGTTTCTTTAGTTTCTGTGTTGCTGAGAAGAGCCTTAAAAATAAAGATTATAAATCAGGGTTTGGATACGGATCACATGTTTAAATAAGCTACCTTTACAGATTTATTACATTTTACATTTAATTCAGAAATACCTTAGCTCCACTCCACAAAGAGTTGGTGATGCTGGGGACAGGAAGGATATACAAGCAGCAGCAGTCAGTCTTGCAGCGTTCTGAAGAGGCCTCTGACTGAAGAATGTTGCTGTGTGACCAACATGACATGCTAACGGCTCAAAATCCGGGATATTCCACCATAACATGACAAACTCTTCTAATCCACCCAATCTGCTTTTGCCACTCCTCTTTAAATTTGTTTGGCTGTTTGATTAGAAAGATGCTGGAGTAGGGGATAAAATCCTTGAAGAGGTGGTTTGAACTTCCTCCTCCTCTCTCTGCATCCATCAGCTATAAAAATATGTTGCCACGGTTACGCATCATAAAAAGTTTGAAAGTAAAAGAAATAAAGGAGGTTACTAAAAATTCATTTTTAAATATTTTTACAACTTTATTGCGGAATTTTAACTGAGCATTTTTTTAAGTAGAGAAATACAAATAAAAATCTGAAAGAAGCTGTGAACTGTGCTCATTTAAAGCAACACTTTGTTACAGCAGATTATAATTTAGATGTGGGTTACAGTTTGAAAGTAAAATTTTAACACAAAAACACTGAAAAAAAAAGATTATTCACCAATCAGTGATTGGAACAAGTCGATATTTCCCCGATCAACTCTGATCCGTTATCAGCAGGGAGGAAAATAGAAAATCAAAGTTTTCCAATAATTTTTTTTAAATTTTATTTCCTCTTTGAATGAATCTGCAGAATGTGTATTCTTACTTTCAGAGTTGGTAATTATTGAAAATACAAACTAATTTGATAATTTCAACTCCTTAAATAATTAAAGTTATCTACTCTGATGGTGGATTGTTGTCTAAATTAGCTCCAATTTTGTGAATTTAATTGAATGTTTTCCCGTTTCGTGTTTTGCTGACATGTTGGCTCATGTTGTGTGAAATGTTTCATTGTGGGCTCATTTTAAGAAGCCTAGAGAATCACAAGGCGGTGCAGGAATGTAGCTTTAGGCCAGGTTTATTCCAGTTTATAATGAGCCTCTTGTTTTCTCTCTGTGTTGTTTTTTTCTGCTGATAAAGCTCTGCGAAGGTGTTTTTCCGTTTTCCCTCGTCTTCTCAGCCAGAAGAGGAGGAAATGAACGCAGCTGCGTGACTTTTCTCCTCACTCCTCCTTTTGTTTCCCTTTTTATCACTTCTGCTCTGAGCAGAATGTGAAATGTTTCGTTTTAGTTTGTTTTGTCTAAATTTAGGCCGGCGGCACCAGGTGTGCTGACAGAAACAGGAAGTAGGGAGGTTCTTTGAAATCGAAAATGAAATGTTTCAATCTCCTCTACGTGCTGTTATGGAAATATGACGGTTTACATGATTAAAACCTGCTAGAAAAGGTAGGAAACCATCAATGTATTTGTATTTTTAAATGTCAAAGCAGTAATTTTTCCTGCTGGTTCTCTGAGAAATAAAAGTTACTCCAGAAAGTAACAGCTTTTTGTTTTTTCTGGGTTACAAACTGTTCGCTGCTCATTTTAACATGTTGGAAATTATTGATTATCGTCAATGATTTAAGGTGGAACTAAACCACAAATCACCCATTTATTGGCAGGTAAAATATCTAAATTGGTCTTTACACTGAAAAAACAAAATCACAACATATTTTTAGTTTAGCTTTTAATGGAAATATCTTAGTACACTTAAATTAACTTACATGTAATATGTTTGTTTTAAGCCTATAATTCAATAATATTGATTAAAAAAGTATTAATTTCACTGGCAGATTAATTTATAACGAGACATCAATATTAAGGAATTATGAACTTTAAATAAATTCCTATATTTTGCTAAAAAGTGATGTAAAACTTAGTTTTCTTATTTCAAGTGTACTAAAATATTTGCACTAGAAACTAGACCAAAAAATACTTTGTAATATTTTGTTTAAGTTTCTGTGAAATAATTTGTTTAATTCTGCAATATTTTTGTCTAAACCCCTTCAGTGCTGCCCTCTACGGGTTGAAAGGCTGTTACTGCAGGTCAGTTTTTCCTTCTGATCCCTTCCAGGCTTGGTCACGCCCCTTTTTTACATCATAGCTCCGTTTTGCTTTGAAAACCCTTAAGAAAACAAACCAAAGATGACAGAATCGACCGATGATTCACACACAGCTTCCTCGTTTCTCTCAATCTGTTCATCTCTGAACTGAAAGCGTTCATGTTCGAAGTTCACCAAAACCCACGGCAGAAACAAGAACTAGTTCATCAACGTTACAGAAGAACCAGAAAAACTTCAACGGTAACCTTATCACTTAGTTTGCATATCCAGTACCTCAACATGCAGCCGATCTGGAGTCTGGGAAAGTATTCACACCCCGGGAAAGTATTTACATCCTTAGGAACTGTTGGGATTTTACATGAAAGAGCAGAAAAGGAAACCCAGTGTGAAGAAAGTGGCTCTGGTTTCATCTTCCTCTTTTGGTCGTGGTTTGTCATCGCCGCTGAAAATGAGAGGAAGTAAAGCTGGAGGTTCAGTTAAATCAGTTCAGCTCTGGGGGGCCGTGACTCGGCGCCACGAGGGAACCACGGTCCGTCCTTCCTCCCCAAAACGGAACCAGCAGAATTTACTCCATTCATCCTGATTTAATTTCCCCTTTTCTGATTCAGTCACACATTCATAAAATCAGGATCTTTACAGACAACAGCAGAGTCTTCAGTCAGAAGCTTCTTCAGAGAGGTGATGTACAGACTGCTACAGGAGATCCTTCCTGCCATCAGCATCAACAACTTTTTAAAACCTTAAATATGAGTTAAAATTACATTTTATTTTTAAATTGAATTTTCCAGATCTGGGAAAAAGTTGGATCCTTGATTCCTTTTTGTCCTTAAAACCTTTCCTTCCTGTTTTCTGCCTTATCCTGTATTTCTTTTCTTTTTGTATCGTCTTTGTCCTTATTTACTCACTTTTACTCGTTTTCATTCTCATTGCCTCGTTTTTTTTCTCTCGTTTTTGTCATTCTCGTTTCTCTCGTTCTATTGTTTTTATCTTGTTTCTCGTTCTTCTTGTTCTCCATTTTTTAGTTCTTTTTCCCCGTTCTTTCACTTTTCATTCTCTCAATTTTCTTGTTTTTCTTCAGTTTCTTTCTCTCTTATCTTGTTTTTCTTGTTCTCTCTCATTCTCTCGTTTTTCACTCATTTTTCCTCCTCCCGTTCTGTTTGTTGCGTCATTCAGGAATAAAAACCGTCCCCAACTCGATACATTTCAGTCTGAGGTAAAACGGGTTTCTGCGTCTCTCCTGCCTTCCAGCCTCCGCCATGTCTCCACCCGGCCGTTCGCTCTGACCGATTCACCGACGCCGGGCTGGAGATGAGTTTAACGCAGTGGCTGAGCGTTTCCAGGAGGCGGCGCTGCTGAGACGGGAGTGATCGGGTTTCTGCCGCCGCCATGGACGAGTTCTCGACCCGGACCTACGGCACCAGCGGCCTGGATAACCGACCTCTGTTCGGAGAGACGTCGGCTCGGGTAAAACCTCCAGTTGGCTCAAGATTCAATGGTTTTACCGGTTCCAACTGGTTCTGGAGTCACGTGTTGAACTTTCTCCTGCAGGATCGGATCATCAACATGGTCGTCGGAGGCTTCACGTCTGTGGTGGTTCTGGTGAGTTCTGCTGTTGATCCATTTAGTTTCAGACCCCTCCCACTGCCAGAACTGAAGTTACTGAGTTTTCCAATCATCTGAACCCCTTCATGACCTGCATCTTTAGTTCTGAGTCGGGTTTCTGACAGACAGCAGCTTCTGAGTCTGAGGCTGTTTCAACACATGGCAGCTCAGTAGTTGCAACCCTTTCAGCAGCCTGTTCCCCTCCCGGCCTGTGGGGGCGCTGCACCAAGAACCACTGAAGGAAACGCAGGCGAGGAGGGGAACAAAGTGGTTTGCTTGGTTTGAGAAAGAGAACCTTTGCTTTCCATTCGAGCCGATCTCTGCAGTGAACGTTCAGACTGAACGCTGATCTCCTCGTTTCCTAGGTAACCGTGATCGGCTCCTTCGTGTTCCCCTCGTTGCCTCCGCGGCCGCTCAACATCTTCTTTGCCGTCTGCATCCTGCTGGCGTGCGGCTCCACCATCGTGCTGGTAACTAAAACTCTGATCCGAAATGCTCTCTGGCTTTCCAAGCAGCCTGCAACACATCTCCAACTTTTACATTTTCCTTCCCAGCAGATTTAAAGTTTGGTTAAAAATCTTTCAGGCTTCCTGAAGATTATGGAAACATTTTAATTTTCACTAAAAATTGTAAAGAAAATCCAGCAGCAAAAGTCTGAGTTTTTGAAGTTGTAGCTTAAAAAAACAAACTTTGCTTAGTTGTTATTTGTCATTATTACCTATTCCTGTTTATTAAACTTAAGAAATTCAATCTAATAAACTTCATTTTATTAAGTTTAATTTATTATTTTTATTAATAAATTGAATTATTAAATAAAAATTAATACTTCATTTGATTCAGATTAATTTATAAATTCAATTTATTTATTAAACTGAATTTAATTAACTAAATTTTGTTTGGATAAACAACATTTTGGACTAAATTTTTCCAAACTTTAGTCTTCTTTTTGTGTCCAGAAGGCAATTTAAAGAAAAAAATACTTTAATACTTTTACTCTGTTCCTGTTTTTACATTTCAGTATTTTGTCAAACATAATAAAACATAAACATTTTAGATGAGGATTTAAAACTTTTCTGCTTTTAAATTACAAAAACCCAGAGAAACTGTTGATCGTAAAAGGATTAAACCCAGATTCAGTGTTTTAGGTGAAAGTTTAAAGTGAAACGTTTTCTTGTTCTGCAGATATTCTGGTACCGGCAGGGCGACCTGGAGCCCAAATTCAGGAAGCTGATCTACTACATGCTGGCCACCATCGTGCTGCTGTGTTTATGTGCCAACCTTTACTTCTTCGACGTCAGGTAGAGGAAGAGGAGGAGGAAGAGGAGCCATCATGGCGTTGACTGACAGAGGGAGGTCCAACGTGGATGAGTGGACCGAGACGGGACCAAAAACACGGAGGGTTAAAGTTCCCGGGGTCAGAGTTCAGACGGCAGAACTCAAACAGAATCGTTTACATCCTGATGAATCCTGACCCTCCAGCGGGATCCAACTTGTGTTTCTGTGATTGGAAATAAAGATCTGAACACATTTATTCCTCCACCGGGGGCGCCAGAGAGTCACAGTGATTCAAAACCACAGAATGAAAGTTGAACATTGAAGTTCAAACATGTTCCAGTTTAGCTTCCTGTCGGCCGATTTGAGGCTGAAACTGGAAACCTCTGACCTCTGAATTTGGATTAAAAGGACGTCAAATCCCACGGTGCGTTCAGGGGCGGCTCCACGGTCAGGAATTCAAAGCTTCTTTTAGTTTACTAGTCATAACGAGGAGATTTTTCACGTTAAACCGGGATCAAGTGAAGCTGTTTCTGCTTTTTTACTAGATGCTTGCAAGCTGGGCGATTAATCCGATTTTTGATTTGTGAGGATTTTGAAAAATCTGGATTTTTGTCCACCAATTCTCTCCGTAATTCAGAGTGATGTCAGCACACCCAGGGCGGCCATTTTGCTTTACTATTATGAGAATAGACGCAACAATAACAGAATAAAGTTGTAATATTACCAGAATAAAGTCTATTAAATAATAAATAGAAATGCCAAATCTTTTAACACATTAATTATCAGTAGTTGGACTTTAAAACTGTCATGGAAACGACTGAATTTGTCAAAGAAAAATCTACAAAATCCGACTTTGTTACTTTGGATCCTGACTTTTTTCTCATAATTTAGGTTTTTCTGGTAAAATTGCGTCTTTATTCTGATGATATTACGACTTTATTCTTGTAATTAAACATATTCTAGTAGCCTGGGCGTATAACTCACAGACGGATTCAAATAAAAACCACAAAATCTGATCCGGTATGAAAAAGTTACATTTTAATCTGTATCATATCACCCAGCCCGAACTGAAATAATCTGCTCCGTTAATCCCGCTGGTGTTAAATCTGAGCTGGACTCGTTACGCATCGTTAGTCTGCCCAGAGCCGAACGGAAACTAGAATCAGGGTTTCTGTTCCTTAAAACTGGAAAATAAAATCAGAGGAAAGTCGATTTTAGGTTCAACATACAGAAATTCACAGTTTTCCCTCCATTTTGTCACTTTAATGTGTTTTATTGTAATTTTATAAAGTAACAGCCTGAATAAAATCAGTCAACTGGCTTCTGTGTGTGACTGAATGTTGGTGGAAATGCCGACGTTCCCTGAACGCCTCAGAGACGAAACGTTTCCTTCAAGATCGGAAGGAAAGAAGGATTAATAACTGGAAACCAGTTTCCAGATGCTGGTTCACTTCCTGTTGTCCACATTGTCTCTTTCTTTGGTCTCAAAAAATATTCTGAAAAAACATAGAAATTTCTGAGCTCAAAATGTTGAAAGTTTACAGGAAAAACTCAAACTTGGAGATTAATTTCACATTTTATAGAAAAAAAATTCAACATTTGGAAAGTTTCAAAAAATTTAAACTTTTGGAGCTCAGAAATTAAAAGAAAATCTGAGATTTATCTAAAAATTGTAGATTTTTTTTCTTGCAAATTGTCAACTTTTGGAAAGTAGAAATTCCCACTTTTTTGTTTCTAAAAAAAATTCTGAGATTAATTTCAAAATGTCTGTATTTTGTCCAAAAGTTTTCATCTTTTGGAAATCAGATTTTCACTTTTTTACATGAAAATTTCTGAAATTAAATAAAACATTTCATAGTTTTTTTTCTTACAGATTTACTTTTTTCCTGCCTAAATGTCCGTAACACGCCGCAGTGTAAACTTTTCCCTTTCTGACTTTAAACTCAGGAGTTTGTGGTTCGACCTCCAGGTGAAGGTGGGAATATTTGTGGATGAAATAAAACTGATTTTATTTCATGTTTGGCTGTGAAATAACATTTTCTGTTGAAATAATTCAAAAACAAACTGAATGACAGTAAAAACTGATCCAAATAAAGTCTGATTTCTCACAATGTTAACATTTAAAACTGAAATAGTTTTAGTCCTTCGCCAGTCGCCATGGCGACAAGCATGATTTCATAAATAAAGTCCGTTTGGCTCGGTTCGTCCCAGAGGTCATGTTCGGGTCGACGCTGCCTTCACATTTCATGCAGGGATTCCCCGAGATCTTCGGCTAAAAACGTCCCGATAAAAACAACTCACAGTTCGACTCCGATCCGGTTCTGATCCGGGTCCGATCCAGTCAGTCAGAACCTTCCTGGTTCTCTAGGATGGGATCTGCGGGCAGCAAAGAGGTCGGCAGGGTTACAGGAGTTGGTCAGGAGCGTTTTGGTCGGTGCTGCGTTGCTGTTACCTGTCAAGGTGCTGCTGATGTTGGGAGGAGAGGCGATGAGCACGGCGCTGCCCGACGGCATCCCAGGATGCACCACTGCACCCTGGACAACATTTAGAGGATGAGGTCAGGGACTCAGTCGTTTAATTTATTCTCTTTATTTTAAGATTTTCAGAACCTGGTTCAGATTCTTCAGACTGTCGGACCAGTTCTGGAAACCCAAACCTGAGTCGTTTACATTCCCGAAGGTTTTTTTTTACCTTCTCTGTGAAATCTTCACTTCCTGCCTCAGGCGTTGCCGTGACAACCGCCTCCGACTCCTCCAGGAGTGCGGCGACGTTGAGGTCCTGGCTCCGCCCCTCCGGCGAAGGGGCGGGCTCAGCGGAGACGGTCTGGATGATGACGCCATCTCCGGAGCAGAGGCCGTCAGTCTGCGCAGGAAAAACAAGATGGCTGCTGAAAAACAAACAACGAGGACGGACAGACAGACAAAGGAGAGAGAGAGAGAGGGAGACCCACCGACAGGCTGTGGAGGATGATGTGTTCCTGGGAGGAGGGGGAGGAGCCTGTTGTCAGGGTTACGGTGCTGTTATTGGACAGGCTGAGAGGAAGGCTCTGATTGGACGTCGTCTGGAGGTAGAAGGTTCCGGGGGTTCCGGTTGGCTGCAGCTGGAAGGACTGGAAACAAAACAAACAAATAATTATCTGATTTAAGAGAGTTAGCGCCACGCTAACAAAATACAATTACATTGTCAGAATAAAGCCATACTAGAATAAAGGTGCAATATTATGAGAATAGAGCCGTAATAAAGTCGTTATTCTGTCAACTTTATTTTTTATTTAAATTTTTCAGATTAAAGTCGTACTAGAATAAAGATGTAATATGAAAATAAAATTGAAATAATATGAGAATAGAGTCATAATATCACAAGAAAATGTCAGAATATTATGACAATAAATATCATAATTCTACGACGTTTTTCTTGTCATATTCCAATTTTATTCTTGTTTTATTACAACCTTATTCCCATTTCTTTTCTTTTTTTCCACCTTTTTTCTTTTTTTTTAATTTCTTACTAGAAAAACCATGTCTAGTGTATCAAACAAGTCGGGGAAGTAAATTTGACAATAAAACTGTTTTCAGAACAGAAACTGTGAAGGAAGTAGCTTGTGAGCCCAGCCCGTTACCTAGCAACCCCAGAAGAGTTCCACTCCGTTACTTAGCAACCCAAACTGATCTCCAGCACGTTTGGTCAGCTGTTTTACTGCAGTAAATGGCTGCTGATGTTTTGTTGTTGACTTACCATCCAGAAACCACTTGCTGCATTCTTGTTGGTCGTGCAGGAGGCTCCACTAATGCTTTTCAAAGATGTATAATTTTGAAGCTATTTTAATGCACGAGTGTAAACGTTGAGTTGCTGTTTGTGGCTTATTTGGATTTAAAGTGCCAGGACCCCAAAAAGCAACTCATTATCTAACAATGGTTTTTGCAAAAACTCCTAAGGGAGTATCATAGGTCACCTTTTAATTTTAGATGTGGCTTTAAGGGTTACAATTAAAACTATGGTGTCCTGCTGGGTCAAACTCACCGGCAGGATCTCAAAGGTCTGCAGCGCTCCTGAGTTCAGAGTGATGGCGTCTCCGTCTGCGGCTGCATCTGAAGCTACAAACAGACACACGGTGAGGAGGAAGAGCGGCTCGTCACATGTCCGGCTGCGTCGAGTCGCCAGAAGGTCGCCGGCTCTCACCCAGGTGAGTGATCTGCAGCGGGATCTGGACCGGGATCTGCAGCGCTGCCAGTGGGCCGGAGACGGAACTGCAGCCGCTGCTGTCATCCAGCCGGGCCAGGCGGATCTGGAGCGAGGAAGAGGAGGGACTGCCGGGGAGGGACGCCGTCTGTGATGATGTCATCAGCTCCTCCAGGCCCTTCAGGAGGACTGGCACCGCAAACACAAAGCTGCATCAGTAAATCTGAGCTAGGGGCCATTTTTAAGACCGATCTGTCTCCAGGTGGAACGATTATTCAACAAAACAAAAACTGAGACGGCAAGTTTGAATTTACAGAGGATTTCCTCTGATCTACACAAACTCACAGTTATAAACACAGCAGAGCTAATAGTTATTCCAGTGATCAATTATTCTGATGATCAAAGCTGCAGGACGTAACTTATTAAAAATACTCATTTTAGATATTTGTTGAAACTGTCACCATGTCGCGACAGTTTGCTATGAGATAATGTGTGAAAAATATTTAGCTTCTCCCAGTGATAACTAGAAACAACAATCAGAGCCAGGAGTAGCTACTTTTTAAGAAGTAATCAGTAACAGAGTTACTTTTTCTGCTCACCGCTGAACGGGATCTCCTTGTGGTTGGCCACTTGCCTCTTGATGCTCCACCATTTGGAGCGCAGCCACTGAGGTGAGCGCACGCTGCTCCACCCCCACGCCAGATCCTCCCACTTGATGTCGTTCTCGTCCTCCACCTTCACCGACGAGATCCTACAGGAAACAGGAAGTGTTTGAACCCGTTCAGCCTCTGAGCCTGCGGCTGCCCGGCGCCGGACTCGGACCTGCGCAGGAGGTTCAGGTCGTCCTCCTTCGTCCACTCGGCTCCTCCGCTGTGCTTCCAGTTCAGGTAGTTCAGCCACTTGGACCGACACTGCTTCTCTGAGCGCGTGCGAACCCGATCCGCCACCGTCGCCCAGGAAACCCCGGCCGTGACCGCCGACCCAGGCGACACGCCTGCCATTTCATACACCACCTCCGCCAGGCGTCCCTCCTCCTCCTCGCTCCATTTACCTGATGTGTAGCATTAGCATTAGCGATAGCAGGCAGCTGAAACCGGAGCAGCGAGGTTCTTATAATCCTGACCCGTGTTGCAGGTTTCCTTCATCAGACGGCAGCGGTCCTTAACGGAAGAGGCGCTGCGACCCAGAGCCGCTCCGATCGTCGCCCAGTCGTTCCCGTGTTTTTCCCTCAACCTAAAAAAAAAACAAACAAACAAAAAAAAACAGGTCAGGACTGGCTGGTAAACGAGCCTCCGGCCACTAGGTGGCAGCAGTTGTTACTGAAACAGCAAAACAAAACGAAAAAGTGCTTTATCATTTTATCATTTCATAATTTTATCGTGAAAATTTTTGAATCATGATGAAAATTTTGATTTATTGTTTCCACAATAAATTTTAGTCATTGATGGTAAATAAAATTAAATTAACTGAATTATTGCAAATGTTAATTTTGCTAAAACAGCAGAATTTTTTATCCAGAATTTTTCTTTTATTTTGATTAAGAATAAAAAAAAAGATTTATAGTCACAATAAATTTCAGTCAGTCAAAAATAAAACTGACAGAATTATTGCAAATATTATTTTTGCTATTTTCTAAATCACTTGTTCCATGAGAGCGTCAAGAAATATCCGTAAATTTGACAATATGATTAATTGCAGTTACTAGATTTGAAATTTAAAAACAATAAAAAGATCTGTAAAAAGTTAAAACTGAGTTGTTGCAACTCATTTTGTTGATCTGTTTCGATAATTGGGTAATAAATGCTAGTTTCCCACTGTTTTACTCACGCTTTGAGTTTCTCTATCTCCTCCGGAGTATACCTGGAGAGGAGAAGGACCAGTTAGCTCTCCTGACTGGGTCACAGCCTGATTCCAGCTGTCTGATCCTGAACTCACTTGCCAACGTGGTTTCTGTCATCGTACATCCGTAAAACTCTCCGGTAGACGGCGAACAGCGGCCGGTTCAGTCCCAGCGCCACCGAGCGGTAGAAATCCTTCCTCTCCTCTTTCGACATCTCGAAGATGATCTCTGCTGGATCCTGGATGCCGCGCCGCTGAAAGAACGCAGCACAGATGATTCTTTATGTCAGGGATGTCCAATGT